CCCACCTCCTGCACTGCTAGAAGAGGATACATCCTCCAAGTGACAAAATACAGTGTCCAAATGAAGGCAAATAAACTCAAGAGTCCACCTTAACTCCTGTTCTGCCTCTTTTTCTCTAGCCTTTAGCTTTCAGTCTGTGCTTTAACATGTTGCTTTTAAGATTTCATAGAAATGTGAGGCACTGGGTTTGATATTATATCTGTTGGCCAGAAAATTGTTATATTATCCTTTAAAATTCTTACATGTGTTGGCTGGATACGGAAACCTTGTTCTTGCAAACAATTGTGGTTCAAAATGTGAGTACCACAATAGGTTGCCTGGCCCTTTATCCAAGTGATTTCTTTTAATCATCTCAGTTTTTTTCTTTCCCTCTCTGTGAGGACACCTGGGGAAATAAACTACAACTAGTATTCTCACATCTAGCCCTCTCCTATACAGATTATATCTTCAAAAACAAGCTATAGCAGACATAAAGTTGTGTGAGATCACACAGAAAGCATTAGTCTATCCCTTAAAAGAGCATTGTGGGATTAGTAGAAGTCACTTCCGTGCCCCTCTGGCAATTATGTGCCACCTTCACATTTTCTGTAAAATGGTGATCAATTGGCTGCCATGCAATGCAGTAGATAAATAAATGATGGCTGCGCTTAGAAACTGCTGGCATATGACAATTAGCTGTCTCTGAAATAATGTCTTGGCAGCCGTTTCATGGCTGCCAAGACACAACAAAGTTGATTTTGCATGGCACCATAATCTGGTCTACAAACTACCCTCTCCCTCTCTGAATGTGCTTCAATTTTCAAACAAACTCTGTCACATATAAGAAGTCGAAAATGTGGTCTACCTCCCATTTCCTTAGACTAGTTGCTATAAAATTGTTAAACTGTGTCCCTCCTTTAATAAATGTGGAGTTGGCCTTGCGAACTCATAAATAAAAATAGACTTGGCTGCTCAAGTCTATGTTATCCTGCTCTCCCTTCAGTGGAAGCTAATTTAGATGTTGCAGGGAGCGAGCTGCATGGCTGAGCCCAGTGATCCCTCAAGGATGCATGTAGCAATGGGATGAGAGTTGGGTGAACATACATTACATTAGATTGTTGGGTGATACAATTAAAGCCTCCTCCTCCTGTAATAATCCCCATTATAGCTTTACCCTACTGACAATGGAAGAAAACTATGGAAGCAAGAAGCGGTGGGATGTTGACACCAAAACAGAATGTTATGATCTTGCACTACAATCTCAAGGATCTCCGACCAATATGGCCATGCTCTTGTGGAATTCAAGGAGCTGTAAGTCTCCAAAATAATTTTTTCCGAGTTTTTCCATGAACAAGAAGTGAGTAAGAAGGTTCAATCTGCTGCCCTACACCTCACCTCCCATTAGCATTTATTTGTTTGTTTGTTTGTTTGTTTGTTTGTTTGTTTGGAGCATTTCTATCTCGTCCTTCTCAACCTCCAGGGGGATTCAGGACGGCTACCAAGAGGCACTATTCAATGCCGATACAATATTATAACATAGCATAAAATACAATTAGCATAAATTAAAACAGTCATAAATATAAATATACCTAAACTGGGAGAGATGTAATCAGCAGGGAGAGGGGTTTTTACTCCATGTCCCTTTTGTTGTTAAGATGAGGTCCCAGACTGGATTCTAGATGACTGTAACCAGTATGGCTTCAATCACAAAATACTGCTATTCTCATATATTCTCCAACACTCCTCTTTTGGCAAGGAAAGTCCTGATTAACCCTTTGTAATTTCAGTTTTTTAAAGTTCTTTTAAAATGTCCTAGTTTCTCGTCCTCTCAATTTTCCAGTTTACTTCAGTTTCAGAAAACCGAGTTCAGAATTCAAAGAAAATTCAGTTAACACAGTAGTGGAGAGAGCAGAGGAGATAGACTAATGGCTCTTACCAACAGGATCAGGCAAAAATAAACTGCTACAGCCTCTCCTGTTTTGTTCATTCTTCTATATTGGTAATCTGACATCTTCAGGCCTTCCTAGACAGGCTCCATATCCCAGGATCTGATCTCATGTTTTCTGATTATCCCAGATTATCTTGCAGTGTGGACTCATATAATCCAGTTCAAAGCAGAAAATCTGAGATCAGATCCTGGGATATAGGGACTGTGTGGAAGGGCCCATAACTACAATCTGATCTTGCTTTGCCAAATGTGTCCTGGTTTTCATTCATGAAAGAGTGGAGACACACCTATATCTAGACCCCAAAAAGTACAAGAAGGAAAAGATATGCAGTGGTACCCAAACTGATATTATTCTTTAGAGAAGGAATGAAAAGGGAGGCTAACAGGAAGGGAGTAAAATCCCATAAATAATTGAAACCTGATCATACAACCTGGGGTTTGGAGGTTGCTTTGTTTGTTCTGGACTACAACTCAGTCATTATGGCCACTCATAGGCTACAAGCTCAATAGCTCTGGAACCAGAATGGAAATTCAAGTACTGGGCCAATTTTGCATATAAGCAGATAGGTTGGCTTTATGCGAGTTATGGTCTCATTACACTAGAAAAAACCCCCCCACTTAAAATCCGGTTTCTGCCTCCTGCAGAATTCTGAGGTTTGTAGTTTAGGGAGGAGCCTTTAACAGCCTCACTAAACTACAAACCCCAGAATTCGGCAGGAGGCAGAAACTGGATTTTAAGTGGATTTTTTCTCTAGTGTGATGAGGCAGCCAGTTTGGATGAACACAATGGTCTTGTTTATTATAGAATGACTGCTCGCTCTTCTGAGTATGACAGCATTTAAGCCATCCGTCATTCACAGTACTACCTTGCCCTGGTTTCAGGCTAAGCAGCAAGCAAAGGAAGGGGCAGGACCTCATTACTTTCCATGTAATAATCCACTCACAGAAAAATTGGAGTGGGGAGGTTGGATCCTAAGTAGCTCCATAATATGGGAATCCCCTAGATCAGGAGTGTCAAACTCATTTTCACTGAGACTCACATTACCTTTTTGGTTGCCTTCAAAGGGCCATTTGTAATCATAAAACTGAATAAATTTAACTAGTTCTTAACATATTGTTAAATAACCTGAGACACTATATCTCACACCATTGTCATCCATTGATCATGTTCTGAAAATAACAAGAAACACAAAACAAAATGCAACTATTCAAAGTGTATGAGTTCTGAAATGATCTTGCAGACCACATAAAATAACATGGTGGGCTGGCCCTTGCTGTGGAGGATACATAAGCCTAAATCTGAGTGTAACAATGGAATCAATAGGACTTCGATAAACATTGCCTTAATAAATTTCCATTGAATTAATCAGTCTTCACTAGTTGGCACTAGTTGCTGGATTTAGGCCTAACACAGCTATGTGCACAACCCTAGAACTAGCAGTTTAAGAGTGACAATATGAATAGAAATGAATTGGCAGGTTGTCTTACTTGTTAAGACTTAAAACCCACTTATGTTATGCAGGTATAATACTACGCTTCCACTGTAGCTGGGATCCTGGGATGTGCATTGAGGAGGGAAGTTAGACTTCTCATCCAGAGAGCTCTTTTGGTACTTCTTACCAACTACAAATCCCAAGACTTTACAGGATGCAGCCATGATAGTTAAAGTAGAGTCAAAGTGCTCTAACTGTGAAGGGAGCATCCTTAGTAGCTAGGCAATGGGGAAAGCCATTACCCATATTGTTCATAAATTCACCAATTAAACATGTAAAAGTTATAAATGTCTGTAACGGTGGCTTTTTTTTTCCTGGGACAAGTGGCAACTCTAGCAGGAGATGCAATTTGCAGCTATTTGTCACAGAATAATGAACAGGGTGAGAAGTGAATGTCAAGTGGAAAAGGCACACAGTCAACAAGCAAATACATTTTGATTTTCCACTTCAAGAAGCAAATAGTTTCAACAATGGTAGAGTGGATGTGCCCTTGAAGAGATTTAAAAAAATACTGCCCAGCATCCGTCTCTTGCCAAATGAGGTGTTGATTATGTTGACAATGGGCCTTGCAAAAGACAATGGGCCTTGCATGTTCCAAAAGCATGCTACATATATACTTCAGCAGTTTTGGCTGAATTTCAGACTGAACAGCCATCTGCTGGAAATGGCTGACCAGCTCTTGATTTCCTGCATTAAGCAGAAGCATATCTTTCAACTGTCCTTGTTTGACAGATAGTCTCATTTAATTCTCTGTTGTTTAGTTTCCTCAGCTGCTTTTAAAATGTCCCAATTCTTCTCTCCTTCTCACACCTTCTCTCTTTGTCCTCAACTTAACTCAATTTCTGCAACCTGAGTTCTAAGTGAAAAAGTAGTTTACACCCAATTAACTCACCAGTTGAACTTGCTGACTGAAAGGTTGGTGGCTTGAATCCATGGAGCGGGATAAGCTCCCACTGTCCGCTCCAGCTTCTGCCAACCTAGCAGTTCAAAAACATGCAAGTGTGAGTAGATCAATATGTACTGCTTCGGTGGGAAGGTAACGGCACTGCATGCAGTCATGCTGGCCACAATGACCTTGGAGGCGTCTACGGACAACAGCAACTCTTCGGCCAAGAAATTGAGATGAGCACCACCTCCCAGAGTTGACACAACTAGACTTAATGTCAGGGGAAACCTTGACCTTTACCTTTACTAGAGAGAAGAGGGGGTAGACCATTACCCTTCGCTGTAAGATCTGGCAAAAGCACACTGCAGCAGCCTTTCTAGCCTGCGTCCTTCCTCATTAGCAACGTTTGCCACCTGAATCCATTCTAAAGTTGCTTGCCAGGCATGTCCAGGCTTTCATCTGTGAAATACTGCAAGATGCCCGAAGTTGACCAAAATTCTCTTTCAAGCTCCCTGTATATTTCTGTGATTACGCTGACAGTTTAAGGCTCGGTTTGGATGCTGCTGCAGTATTCCTGATGAAAGAGCTCAGTGTGGAAATGATAATGTCAAAGGGCATCATCCCCCACTCTCCCATTTGTGAAACCTCTACAAGCCAGGGACACAAGAGACTTGCCAGTAAAGGCACATGTCAGTTCCACATTTTCAAAATGGTTTATTCAATATGTTTTGATATCTAGGGGGGCAATCGTCACAATATGGTTCAAACAGCTTTTGACAAAATTGATCTAGGTCTAGGATGTAGTGAGTCCCACTACATAATTTCCGTCAATACATGCTGATCTGGTGAACATATCATATATTACATGCATATGGCATGTTCACAAGATTTCATATGTTACCAGTTCAATAGAATTTATAGCAGTTTGGTTAGGGAAAGCACCAGCAGATGCATTTATGGGACATCCAGAAACGGCACACACTAAAACCAGATGCCATTTATATCAGTATCGTGATGATGGCTTCTTCCAAAAACTTTTGGCAGTGATAGTATGGTGAGAGGTTTTGCTTAGCAACTTTCAGCTCAAAACACCTGTCTAGAATCCCTTGCAAGGCAAGAAACAATAGGTAAGCCAGATTTACTGTGCATTCCTATGCATATTTACTCAGAAATAAGCCCCACTATATTAAGTGTGTGTTACTACCTGGAAGTTATGCATAGATTAGAGCAAGGATGAGACATTTCTGGCTGTCCAGAGGTTGCTGGACTGGAATGCTCACCAGCCCAAGCTAGCAATGCTTCACATGGCAAAACATGATAGTGTTCGCAGTCAACATCTGGAAGGCCATAAATGGCTCCTCCGTGGATTAGAATTGAAATCCACTGTGTGAATGACACTTGAGACTCTCTTCCAATGTTCTCATCTACACAATTCATTGTGGGAGACAAGGGAGTGGGCAAAAGTGTTGCATTGCACCCCCCAATAGCTCTCTGACCAACATGGCCAACAGTGAAGAATAATGAGAGGTACAGTTCAACAACATCTCAGGCACTTAACTTTACCCATGCCAGCTATAGCAAAATTCAGTGGCCTGTGAACTGTGGAGTGGCTAAACACGCAAAGAAATGCTAAAACCAATAAACTGGCATGAGTCTGTGACAAATTACTCATCCAGAATGAAAAGGAAAGGCCCAGCACAAAATTCAATAGGAGGCAATCACATTTCCAAAAACCTACAAAGGAAATAGTGTTTACAGAGGAAAACTCAAGAGATTGTACCTTCCAGTGATCAATGGCATAAATCACTCTCCAGCGCGACTTGTGCTTTGGACATTGGCAGAAATGTTGCGGCTCAAACAAAAAGCAGCTCCCTCCTCCTCCCCATAGTACAACCCCAGAAACCTTTAACACAGTCATGTCTGAGGAGGGCAGTTTTTGTGTGCTCTATGTGTAAATAATCTGGGGAAAGTAATTACTTGTATAAAATAACATTTGCAATAAACTGACTGCCTGTCAGCTCAAACATCCCATGGCTGCACAAAACAGCAAACGGCCACAGGATAATTTATGCATTCAAATACTTGTACCCCTGGTTAATACAGTTTGGGAAAAACACTGGTTCTTTCTTGCTTTTCAATATGAGTGTAGGCTTGTATGTATGTATGTGTCTGTAAAATGCTTCAAATAAGAACAACGGTCCTTCCCTGTCCCCCCTCCCCCTTGCAAGCCTTTTTGCCCTAGTTCAAGCTCTTGTAGTCTGTATTGCACTTGTTTTCTCATACTTTCTGGTAACCACACAAACATTTTAAACCTCTTTTCAGCAAGTGTGCGCAGCTTTGCCTCTGCCATCCTTGGCTGGCCAAGGGCCCCTTGTGCAGCTGCTGCAGAGGAGCAGGGACAGGTGGGGTTGGGTTATAGGGCAGGGGGTGTAAGGCATACCACGCTGCCAACCCTCCACTTTACGAGTTCCTCTCCCACTCCGTGTTGCAATAAGGCCTCCTGAATTCCTTTGCTCAGACTGTGGTGACTCTCATGACAAGCTCTCTGTTTGTGCTAGAGTGGTTTCTCTGTTCATGAGGCCTCAGGTGGCTGAGTATATGCAAGATGGTATAAGCACAGTGGTGGTCAGACAAGGTGCCTGCGGTGTGATCAGCCCCCCGGACCACGCCGTCAGCTGGGGCAGAGTTGCTAGCTGCACCGCTTGTGGAGGACGAAGGGTTGGTTTGGGAGGAGGTTCGTTGGTTGGTCCTGGTCCCTGTTTTTTGATCCTCCAGGTCCTTTGTTTTGTCATAGTTCAGCACTTTCCACTGTTGATTGACTGCTTGCCACCGTTTAAAAATCCGGTACACTGAGGGTCCTTCGTGGATTATTAGTCCTGAAAGACAAAGGACAATTAAGATAGCGAAAATGAAAATGAGAGGAAACTCAGGAAAAAATCTATGAATCTACAACCAGCGTTTTCCCCACTACACATGTAGACCTGAGTCTCTCAGATTATCATATCTAGTTTTGACAGCTCTCTTCATATGTCACCTTTCTGGCTCAGTAATATTCTCGCCATTTTGATTTGACATTACAAGACTCAAAGGAGGGCTATCCTAATAATGCATTTTATTAAAAGGCCATGTTTGTTATTAAAAACAGGCTATAGTCTGATAGACCAGAGGTGGACAATTGTGGTTCTCCAGATGTTTTGGTCCAGCAATTCCAATAGTCACTTGCTATGAGAGTTAGAGGCAAATGCATCTGTAGGGCCATACATGTCTAGGTAAAGGTAAAGGTAAAGGTTTTCCCTTGACATTAAGTCCAGTTGTGTCCAACTCTGGGGGTTGGTGTCCATCTCCATTTCTAAGCTGAAAAGCCTGAGTTGTCCATAGACTCCTCCAAAGTCATGTGGCCAGCATGGAGCGCCGTTACTTTCCCGCTGGAGCGGTACCTATTGAACTACTCACATTTGCATGTTTTTGACCTGCTAGGTTGGCAGAAGCTAGGGCTAACAGTGGGAGCTCACCCCCGCTCACCGAAATCGAACCTGCAACCTTTCAGTTAGCAAGTTTAGCAGCTCAGTGGTTTAACTATTCTCCGCCACCGGAGGCGTACTTCTGCCATAAATTATCATTTTTCTCCTTCAGAGTATTGTTACATTTGGAGATTCTTCCATTTCAGTAATACATTATTACTGGGGCGATTACTTTGGATGCAATTCTTCCATTTCTTGAGGGAAGGGTGATTCTGGGTTATTGCATATGTGTGTACATGGCCTCAATCTAAAACTTGTGGTTCATCAATTGAGCACAGAAATTATTATCCCTCTTCTCTTTCCTTTCCTTCCCTTTTAAAAGTACATTTTTCTGGGGATGGAGTCCACAGCTTTTATTTTATTTTTCAAAGGGACCAATGACTCCTACCCTCTGAGATTTAAATCAACTGATTTAGGATAAACAAGAAACAAAAGAATTTGCTGTCTGGAAAAATTAAAACATGGTAGATTTCTTAAATATCCATGTGTACACACATATATATACATTGAAGGTGATCTTGCTTCACAAAAAAACCATGCAAAATGCATAAAAATATAAAATAACCTAAAATACAAAAGCAATGTATATAAGCAACGCATTAATAAAAAGTAAAAAACATTACGACATTTCATTACAACATTAAAATGATCACCATGGGCACCAAATTCAAGGATTAAAATTTTAAGATACTGGGCCATGGCAATACTCACGCAATTAATCTGGGATAAAGTACACTTGAGCTTCCCCCGTGCAACCCAGGAGCATTCCCAGGACTCAAATGTATACTTATCTCCTTATTTAATGGAGCTGAGTGGTGGCTAAAGTCAAGGCATAAGCTACCCTAAGGCCATGTAAGGGAGCTCATGACAAAGATGAACTCCACACCGAGAGACCTCAAGGCTGAATGCTCTAATAGTAACAGCCATCAAGTGTACATCTTATACTATATTCTTTTTATGAGGGTGGGCAACAGCAGGGAAAATAGCTTTAAGAAAACCATATAAAGACCACTCTTCACAGCATGCTGTTAAAAGGTATTATGCAAAAGAGAGAAGTCTACACATGTTGCCTTAATTTACAAAGTGAATGCTCAATTTGCAGGGCATTCATTAGCAGGTTTGTGCCATTCCTGTCAAGAGAGAGGGGAAGGGTTGCTCAGTGATGACATGTCTTTTGGGAGGAGCAGAATAGAGAGAGAAATGGAGGTAGCATTGCTGATAATCTGCCCAACTTAGTTATAGTGTCTGACAACAAGAGAGCTAGAAAGAACCACAAAGATCACAAAGATCTGTCAATTCAGGAAATCCACTGCAACAGCACCTGTGACCAGGGACATCTAGCTGCTACTGCAAAATCAGCAATTTCCTTCTGTAGAGATAACCCGTATAGTGTCCTGGTTTGAGCATTAAACTCTGGAGACCAGGATTAAGCCAAGGAAAACCAAAAGGTGACTATCACATTCTCTCATGACTCAGAAGAATGAATGGCGATGCCTTCTGAAGAAATCTTGCTCAAATCCTATAATAGAGTTGCCTTAGGGACACTAAAAGTCATAAATGGCTTAAAGGCACACAAGAAGAAGAAGCAAAAGCAGAAGCAGAAGCAGCAGCAGCAGAACTTTATTTTTCTATCCCGCCTCCTTCTCTCCAAAGGGACTCGGGGCGGCTTACATGGGGCCAATCAAAAACAGAACAATAACCAGTTAAAATAGCATAAAACCGCATAAACAATAATAAGCAAATATCAAGGCAACAACAGACTAATTTTTGGAGGAGGGGGAAGAGGGAACTATGTGAACTGGTTAAAGGATAGAGTGGTTCAAAGGTGGATAGAAATGTATAATAGCATAGGAAATAGCATAGAAACAAAGCAATTTAACAGGATCAATTCAGCTTAACTTGAAAATATATATAGTAATACAGTATAGGAATTGAGGTCAAGATTCAGGTCATGATACAATCATTTGTCATAGGAGTCATCAGTCGAATGCACAACGAAACATCAATGCCTTTAATTCCTTACGGAATGTGGATAGGGAGGGTGCCAGCCTAATTTTCCTAGGGAGGGAGCTCCAGAGACGAAGGGCCACTACCAAGAACGCCCTTTCCCTCGTCCCCACCAACCGCACCTGAGACGGGGGGTAGGATCGAGAGAAGAGCATCCCCGGAAGATCTTAAGGACCGTGTGGGCTCGTGGGGGAGGACAAGGGTCTTTATGCGGACTATTATTTTCTATGGCAATTGGTTCTACTTTCAAACTGTGCAATGCCCCAAAAGAAATAATTTTTACATAGGCCTACTTCATAATGGAAAGTCTTCTGTTTCCCTTATACTTGGAAGACAGTATTCATGGAATCATGGAATCACAGATTTGGAAGAGACTACAAGGGCCGTCCACTCCAACTCCAGTCTGCCAAGCAGGAACACACAGTCCCGACAGATGGTCACCCAGCTCCTACTTAAAAACCTCCAGGGAATGAGAGTTCACCACACTCCAAGGCAACAAAATCCTCTCAATATTTTATTTGTATGAAATCTTACATCATATGTTTCTCCCCACAAAGACTAAACCTGCTTTATCTCTTGCCTGGAACCTCTATTTGTGTACGAATGGTATGGGACTGATTGTAGTTCACCTTCTGCTTACAAATCCTAATTACCCTGTATGTGAGATACACTATTAAATTTGTCAAAAACTGTTTACTTTTCCATCATCCTGTCCTCTACAATGCCGTACAGAAGGAATATGACAGAGCACTAGTTCTTTTGGTCCTTCTTGTCCCTTGCTCACAAGAGGATGGCCAAACAAATGAGGGGGAAACAATAGCATAGAAAGGGTTGATAGGCTTCCATAAACCTTGGCAATTGACCATTGATGCCTCCTCATCATACTGACCCTGATATTCCTCTTCATATTAGCTCAGTATTTACAGCACAAAGTGATACTTTCATATACTGAGAACTAGGCATAAATCTTCTGCATTCCAATGTTTTCTATACCTAACATGCCTTCCAGTCTTCTCTATACAGGTTGCTAAATATACCATGTTTTATGCATTCAGAACAAGGAATATAGTCTATAATCTGGGCACGTGTTTATAACCCATATACTTTCCTCTAGTGGATTAAAGAATGCCTGCAGTTTGGTAGATCACATGGTTTCCAAAGTTCAAAAATCAATTTCAGGAGCCAAATATTGATGCTCAGGGTCAAATACTTACTGCAAATTTAATGTAGGTGCTCTACTCCCACATTTCTCTTCAAGGTTTGGAGTAGAATCTTGACCTTGGTTATTTGAATTTCAAGTATATGACCCAAAAAACTTGCCTTAGAGTATTTGACTCAGATGTGGAAAGTTTAGTTCTTTTTTAAAATCACAAATATTAATGAACAGCCTGACTCAAGAGCTTTTTTCCTATAAAAATAAAAAAATGCCTTTAATATTATAAGTGTGCATGATCCCATGGAATTAATTTGATGTTGATGGATAGACTTGGTGCATCAACCGAGCACCTGCTTCCTCGGATAAATTGGGCCTCAAAATATTTACTAAAGGTGCAAAAAATAATTTTGCTTTCCTTCGTAGTTGCCGGGATCCAAATTACTTATTGATTTCTTAGCACTGAGCTCAGGAAGCTGTAAAATTAAAAAGGAGCCAAGTAGAGGAGTGGGTGGGTAGAGGGAAATAATCATGTCAGAGATGAGGAGTGAGCAAGGCAGTCTATCAGCTTAAATTCCATTTGCAAGTAGCCCCAAGATTGCATCAAGATAAATTTGAATTGTTTCGAGTTAAGCAGAGAAATGGATTCCTCAAGCAGTTACAGAAAGCCTTGCTCAGTAGTAATAGAAGACTATGATTGAAAAGACAGGGTAAATTTTCATTTCAGAATTTGATTCTTCCATAAGATAAACCAAGATGCAAACTAAACACAAAGAACAGCTAGGAATGTGAAAAAAGAGTGGAGGAATTTGGCCTCAGTGGTTGAGAGTTTCACCGATGTTTCAAATTATTGTATAGACGAGAGGATTTTAAGGACTATGGGGCTGGGGAAGAAACAAAACCTCCACTTTTCATACGTGGCAGTCTTCAGTTCAAGCAGGTGTGGATTACTTGTGCCCTCCAGATGTTATACTACACTGCTTGTCCCATCATCCCACATTTTTTTCCTGGGGTCACACTTTGGATGTAATATGAAGCAAATGACCAAGCTATAGAAGATACCAAACCCTTCCCTCCACCTGCATTTGAAAAAGGATATCTGCATGCATCACAAGACACCCAATTCTTGCCAATATTTTTACAGTGATTTTAGACAACTTTGTTCCGTGTTACTTTTAATTGCAGTGTGGGTATA